GTGAGAAGCGTTCAGTGCATATGCCGCTGCCATGTTAGACGTGTCTACATGCAGGCTCAGGGTCGTTTCATAATCTGATGTTGCGCACTCTTACCGTGTCTCTGCTTCCTTCTCTCAGTGTGCAGTAACATGCCTAGAAAGAGTGAAAGGGGGCGGGTGCAAGAAGTATTCTCCATTGCACGCGTCCTGAGGCAGGCGCGCGAGCCATCGTCTTCGGAGACGATGATGCGTCGGCGCGGACGTCCCTCCGTCGATGCATCCAGCTCACCCACTTCGACAACTGTCGCCTGCATGTTGAGCTCGACCGTGGCTGCCTCGTCCACAACCAGCTCACTTGCGCGAGACATCTGGAACTCCGTCTCGGGAATGCTGCACGGAGTATCCAGCAAGATAGCGGAGGACCTGGGCTGTTAACGCACTCAAAGATCTGCATGCGGGTGATACGCTAACACGACCCACGAACATGAGCATGTCCCTGCCTGTGCAGCAAGCGTCGGCGTTTCCCGTCTGTGGCGTCCCCGTCGGCGTGGTAGTGGAGCTCGAGCTGGCCTGGCACGCCTCGCCAAGCCGGGTGCACTGTGACATTTCGCAGCTCCACGTAAGAGTCCAGCTGCACATTGGTCCACACATCGCGAGCCCCGGATTTCACGGACACAGTGCAATTGCCATCTGTCAGGCGAAGCCGGCGACAGGGATACGCGTTAGCAGCACCACCCAAAAAGCAGACCCGGCCACGAACACTCACGGGTTCGAGTGTCACCTTCAGGTCACGCAACGCAGTGACTGGACGGATGATGTCAGGCACCGACACAGCCGTTGCAGGAGCAGCGCGTACTCCGCGCGCCGGCTGGGAAGCTACGAAACGGGGCATGGCGGCAGGAACAGTCTTACAGAACTACTCACCGGGGACAGCGTTCCGATTCAGACTCGAGCAACTGCACTGCGCACGACATTCACAAGAATGGCAGGCAGTTGTCTTCTATCACCGCAACGCGGCATCTTCCCGGAACAACCACATCAACGCGGTATGAATCCGGCAGTGCCTTTCTTGGAAACCTGTGAACCATGTTGAATGACTCACGCCAGTATTCGTGGTAAGGAGGAGGCTATATAGGAAACATGCATTCGTTCTCTTGACACGCAGAACAACGGCATACAGACCTGACTCAACCTTGATCTACATTCTCTACACACGCATCCGTGTGTGTCCGTCTCCATCACGAGTTTCTGCTCACGTGCTTTACCGATACGGGTTCTCGTTAACCGGGTCTGTTACAGCACGCAGCACAATTATCACTTTGATTCCTGATGAAAGCAACGTGTCCCAACGGTCGCCGCTCGTTCCTGCTGTTGCAGTACCAAGGCTGTTGATCCTGTTGTTAATTCAAACACCACGAACTGTCGACATCCTGAACCACCGCTGACGAAAAGAACATGTGGCCACTGTGTCTGCGCCTGGACCATGGCACTGTCTCTGAGCTCTGCCTGCGGGAGCCTGCAGTCTGGAAAAGCTGATCACCAGACATCGACACGAGTTGTAAATCTGCAACAGCCCGGAGTACTTAGAATATGATTCTGGGTGCTTTTTTCTATACGCGACGTACAAGAAGTAACTCGAAAGGAACAAAATTCATGATTGCTACGCTTCTCCAACACGTGACGAGCTGTATGGAATTGAGGTCCCTGACTTGTAGGTCCGAACACTGAGGATTCCGCGATTTTACACCCTGAGGTCTCACATTGCATTGTGTTGTAGAGGCTGGCACGCGCCGTGGGACCGAATAATGCGGCGGAGGATGGTGCTAAGTTGATTCTCGTAGAGCTAGCATGGATATCACGATAAGCGACAGGGAGCGGGCACAAAGTACGTGACATGGCCGCCACGGTGGTACCACGTTCAATCTCTTGACAAGCGCCAGCACAGCCGAGATCACATGCCATCCGTTGCATCCGGAGAACTACACAGTTTCCCAGTCCAACTTGATAAAGTGTCCAGTATACCAACATCCTGCTGGTGTCGTAGCTGCAGGAGACTGTGTAGTGTCAGTAGCGTGTTCTATCAGGTCAAGGAAACAAAGATACGGCTTCGTATAGATTCCCGAGACTAGTCCTTGTGAACATGAAGGTCTGGGGCTCTTGGTACTGAAGAAACGTGCGCTGCCGTGCACGCAGCGTGATCAACGACACTTCCAAGGATCGAGTACAGTAGAAGCTTGGATAATGAAACTTCTCAGTGTTTTGGTGCACTATATTCAGCTCCGAAGCCTTCTTCCACTGAGTAGGCTTTCGTTATTGCATAGCTGAGGAAGGATATGAAACTAGTCTAAGTTGCTGCGGCGTCTGTCTGGAACTAATTCTACCTCCAAACATCTAAACCTATGCACCCCTAGAGCTGAGACCCTTAGCCCAAGAAACCCGTGCTCAGAACGAAACTCTTCACCCTATACTAATACCCAAAACCGCAAGCTCAAAGCTTTAAACTGGGAGCCCCCTAAGTTCTTCTAACCCCCAACCACGCAAACCGGTCTCGGCACCCCATTCATGTTCTGGAGCCTTGATGGCCTCCACCTCAACTTCTTCGTGGAGGAAGCCTCGCGAGTGCGGATAATAGGGTTGGAGGGTAAAGAGTCTTAGGGTTTCCGAATTCAGGGTGTTTAGACTTTGTGGTGGCAAGGCGTTTCAAGCTTCGGAGTGGAGGGTCCAGCGCTGTAGGCCAAAAACTTTTACTGGTTTACCAGTTTTGAGATTCATCTTCCTCAGCTGCTAGCATCCCTTTGTGTCTGCTGCCCTTTCTAATCATCTTGGTTTAGTTGCTTGCTTGTCTCTGACCACAACCACAGACCCGAGAAAAAGCAAGCGACTCCAAACCACGTGTCTCAGGATACGCTCGCTTCTCCAATATTGCTCGACGAGACCTACACGCAATCCCATGAATTCTTGAGCTCCTAAATCGGGCGTCCTCAAACCAACCCACAAGCCCGAAGACTGGGAACTCTGAAGAAAAATCTAAACCTGCCTGAATCTCCTCGCACTTGAAACGGTACCTCTGAATCCTTACACTGCCTTACGTAAACCCGAAACATTACACCCTGGAATCTCTAGACGCTGAATCCTGAACTACTGACCCCCGTGACTGCTTTTGTTTCAGAGCACGTGTGACCCGTTGCGGCTGCAAGAAGAGCGTCCTTAAAGGGTTAGAGCGCAGGAGCGGTGCGTAAGGCACGGAAGCGTAGGCTTGGAGCAATTTTGAGCTAGAGTCTCCTGTGCTTTGGCAGGATCTAGGAGCTTGGGGGAATGTGAGCGGCGACGGCTTCAGACATCTGCTTCCGGCGCATATGGCTCTGGGAGTTTCAGGCGGGGTTAGAGGTAGACAATCGGCTGTCAGGCGAGGTGCAGCTTCTGCAAGCATGTACTGTGAATGGACCTAATCTGAAGTTGCACTGTTGCGAATTAATCAGCCTTTATGACCTATTTTTGTTTTCAGAGGGTCCGGCTCTCTAACGGACGCTCCCGATACCTGAATTTGAAACATGATGCTCAGCTATCTGTACAGCATCCTCTGTTGAAAAGGCCAGATTCATCAAGCTGCGATACTCAATACTGCACCCTCGAACATGTGTTCTGCAACTCGCATTGGAAACTAGCCGGCATCTTTTGCAACCTCTTGAAACCACTACCCGCGGATGGCCTTGAGTAAACAAACACTCTCTCCGAAGGGAGCATCCGTAGATATGCACGCTTGAGTATTCATTGTCGTTGAAGAAACCCGGGTCTCGTATAGAGTGCCTGCTGGAACCTGTTCTGTACAGTATCTGGAGGCACGTGTGATGCAGCTCGCTGCGAAGCTGGATGGCATCTCTTGAAACTGCTTGCATCAGCACTGCCTCCGACTCCGGATAAATCCTGCGTGGACCTGCAGTCTTGCGAGCCTGTAAATTTGCTCGCACTGGAGTACCCACGAACAGTCTCGGAGGTTCAATATGAAACACAGTGCCTTCCACGGTGGCACAGACACGATTTGCTGGACCAGGAACCTCAGCGCATCCTCTTACTCCGGGACCTGAATAAACCTCTGCTGAAGCGGCGTGTGTCCTGCACCTCGCCTTGCAAACGGGATGGCATTTCTTGAAACACTTTCAAACAATGTGGCCGCACATGATCCCGAGCAAGCTTTCCTCTGTCTGCATGGTCCGCACGTGAGCTTGAACCCGTGTGAATGTACACTCGTCCGTCACTTTTTTCTGGCGAGAACCCGGGCCGGCAATATACTCTTTCCTGTACACTAGCCACGGACGGTCTTAAAGGATGGAGCTGGAACATAGCTACCTAGCTATATAGCAACCACTGTCACTGTCTTGGGTTCTGAGGCTCAAGACTGCAACTAGGTCCCGGCACTTTTACAGCCTTCAATAGAATAACATCTGCGCTGCAGCTCGTTTGGGAACCTGGACGGCGTCTTCATGATTTGCCGTGCCTCCTCAAAGAGACAGCAAGACAGCGCCAATACGACCGGGGGACGTGTTGCCGAGTCTGATCTAGCAGGCATGGCATGCTAGCTGCCTGATTCGAAGCTAAAAGAGCAATCCCAAGGTCTCTTGTCGTGCCTACCACTTTATATTAGTTACCGGTTTCTTCGATACGAGTCTCCAGGTCATGCGAGGCTACACAGGGTTCTTGTCTTTGGTACGTCGAGGGGACGCAGTCACTGATAAAGAGGATCTTGACTGAACAAGGGACTAGCCCGTCGTTTATTGCTTGGCCCTATAACGCAGACATAGTATCAGCGCTTGTTACTGGCTCTGTGGAACGGGGCACAGCAACCGCTGTACAGTGGCGACTGTGTTGCTGAAAACTCTGTAGCAACAAAGTCGCCAGCTACCTCTGCTCCGATTCCGAAAGTCGAACCAGAAACATAGCGGCAGTTCAATCTTCGTTGTCGTCCGACCCAGACCCGGCTGCATGATCCGGGTCGCGCACGCCCTGGCGTCGAACTAGAGTTTCTACGTTAGGCTCCGGGGCGTAAGATTCAAGGTGGCGTGCGCTGGCCATCCTAAGCACAAGCATAGGGGCGCCTGACGTCGCAACCCATCCGCTTGCCACGTCTGAGCACAATTGATGAAAGCCAAGCTGTCATCGGCGAATTTGCGCCCTTGCTTCGAGCTACAAAACCGAATCTTGTTCCCGCGCAACCGCGACGTGACAAGCACCCACAAAAGAGGACCACTGCTATCGAGCAACGCTTACGAGCAGGTCCTCCGCCTCCACGCAGAAGAAGAAGCTGTTGCGTGACGTCGACGGCTGCTGAAGCTGTGACCAAACCAGCGCGCTGCCGCTCCTTCGCGGTGCGCAAAGCCGTATCGGCCACCTCAGCAGTAGGCAGCGGAGAACTGACATCTTGTGCCCCTCGAACTCTCCGCTCTTCATGCGGCTCCAAGCCTCGCGATTCAGATGCTCGACATTGTCAAACTGAGACACAGTACCCAATGCGCCCAGAGCCATGACTATGCCGTCCAAATGATGTACGTCCCGAAGCACAACCTTACCACACAGCATGCAGATTACACCCCGAGACGCTACACCAAAGAACGAAAACTGACTTGCCTGCCTACTGCACCTTCGACCAAGTCACATGCAAGCGGCTGCCTCCGGATACCGGCACTATCTTCAGCACGGTCGCAAACTGTGCAGGGGTAATCAGTGCCTGTACCGCAGCACGGGCCGCAGTGCGCGACGAGATAATCTGATGCAAAGTGATGCCGAGCGTGGCCATGGCTACAGACGCAGGATGCGCGATGGCTACTAGAGCACTGACAAACAGTTGCAGAGAGGCAGGCGACAATAAAAAGATTGCAGAACAGAAGCCTGACTTACCGCGGCTGGCACAGGCGTTACTGCGCCCCGAAACCCCTGCATCCTCTTGAAGATACCTGCAAGCTCGAAGAGTTCGACCCTGAACTCCTAGAGTCGTGTAAGTACTCAAGCTCCTTACAGTACCCATACGGGGTGCCTCCTAGTGCCAGCAACATCGAACGGCTATTGATCCCCAATCATAACATGCATCTAACACGCGACACCCACAAACCCTGACAACCTATTCAGAAAAAACCACCCCCCACTGAAACCTCAACCCAATCTACATCGATCGTGATTAGGGCTTAAGAGACTGGGGTGGATCCTAGGGGCCTACTCCAACCCTAGCCTCTCGTGCCCGGGAACCACACCAGCGCTATTAATCTCGAATCGCAAAATGCATCCAATACGAGACAACCACAATCACTCAACAACATGATCCGAAATCTCACCACTCACTGAAGCCTGAATACAATCCAGGGCAGAGGATTCTAGGGATCGCTTCTTGTATTAAGAGTCAGGGTCTTATATGATTTCTGCGTATGACAGAACGAACGGGATGAAAGCTTAAGAACATGGGATGGATCCTGGGGGCCTACTCCAACTCCGGCCTATCGTCCCCTGGCCCAAAAAAAGCAACCTGGAAACCCCAAGCAAGTGATGATCCCCAATCTTAAAATGCATCCATTAGCCGACACCGACAAACCCGCAACGACCTTATCTGAAATCTCACCCCGCACTGAAGCCTAAACCCAATCTGAGGATCGATCGGGATTGAGGCTGAAAAAAATGGGGTCGATCGTCGAGGCTTCTTCCAACCCTAACCTACGGTCCCCTGGCCCCACAACAGCAACCTGCAGACCCGAAACGGCTATTGATCCCCAGTCGTAAAATACATCCAACACGCGAAACCCACAAACCCACAACGACCTAGTCCGAAATCTCACCCCCCTTGAAGCCCAAACCCAAGCTGTACCGATCGGGATTAAAGCTTAAGAGAATGGGGTAGGTCCGAGGGGCCTACTCCAACCCGAGTCTATCGTCCCTTGGACCCACAACAGCGCTATTGATCCAGAATCACAAAATGCATCCCCTACGCGACACCCACAAACCCACAACGACCTCATTCGCAATCTCACCACCCGCTGAAGCCTAAATGCAATTTAGAGTAAACGATTATAGGGATCGCTTCTTATATTCAGGGTCAGGGTCTTATATTGATTATGCGTTAAGCCAGAACGAACGGGACCATGCTTAAGAGCATGGGGTGGCTCCGAGGGACCTACTCAAACTCCAGCCTATCGTCCTCTGGCCCAAAAAGAGCAACCTGGAAACTCCAAACAACTACTGATCCCCAATCTTAAAATGCATCTATTAGCTGACACCAACAAAGTCTCAACGACCTTGGACTGGGGTCTGGGGCTAAGGAAGTCTTAACCCGAGATCTGGAAGTGCAATAGATTATAACTTTATTTAGTACAGCCCCCATCGCGGCAGTAACGAGGACTCCTCACAAACCAGCAAGCTGAGGGCTGACGGACTCTGATAGTGGGGGTAGGATATATTGCGTGTTTAGAAGTTTCGGAGTTGCGTGTCCAGGGTTTAGTGCGAGTCCTGACCGTGACAGTGAAACTTCTTTTATGCACCGCCACACTTCCGTCTGCTCTTGCTCTCACGCTCGGAACAGGCCCAAGTGCGATGGGTTCAGGGGCTAGGAGGAACGGCAACTTTTGTGGGATACGGGCTGAAGTGTTAGGATTAGTTTCAGGCTCAGGGTGCGGGATCCTGCGCAAAAAGGCACATGAATTATCCGGCTTGCAGCCGCGGCAGGCTTGTCTACAGGGTTGCGGCTATGAGGCTTGGGGATTGGAGCTTAGGATGTGTGGTTCGGGGCTTTAGTGTATCAGACTCATGCGGGTTCCGGATTGCAGGTGCATGGCTTAGAGTTCTGGGTTTATGCCTGCCGCTGCCCGCTGTGCTTGCCTTGCGCGGCTCAGGACGTCTTCGGCCATCTTCGCGACGTTTTTCCACTGCCGAACTCGCTCAGCCACCTCAGTCTCACTGTCCGCCCAACAGTCAAAAAGGACCACGCGTTTTTTGCTATAAAGAACTCAGCCTCATCACATAATAAACAAGAAGCCATGAGACGTCTGACAGTGGCTGCGACTGCAAGCCGGATGCTGGCTTCGGCGTGGAGGCTGCTGAGGCCTGAGTCAGATATCAATCAAGCACAACTTCAAATTCTATATATTTAACAGAAGGGACGCGGAAAAGCTTACGTGACATGTACAAACTTTCTAACCAAATGGAGTCTCCATGCCAGTCAGATCCAGCAGCCGCGCCATTCCAGATGACCCAGATGCCGGCTCCAACAGCGGAGGTGAAGCCTGAATCGAATTCATAAAAAAATACTTCAAAGACACGTTTGCTACGCAAAATTCTGCATAAGCATTTGGAAACCATGCAATGGAGCTCCTTGCTAGTCTTCAAACTGAAGACATTTAAGTCTTTAGGCCAAAACCAACTGTGTCAGAAACTATGCCATGGAATAATCCCAGAGGCGGATGACGCATCGTCATTGTCTTCGCCACCATCATATGGCACAGCTCGGACGGCCTCGCATACTATCGTCGCGGTTGGCCGGTTCAGGACTTAGAGCTTAGACTAGTGTCTAAGGTACCCAATTGTACCAAACATCTGCTATTCCAAGAACACAACCTAGACACGGCGGATGCGTCATTGCCCTTGCAGCCGCCAACCGCCTCAGCCTTGGATGCTATGGTGTTCCATCGGATGAAATGTTTCAATTGGAAGCCGTCTCACGATAAGAGTAAAACCTGGACACGTCGGATGTTTCCGACTCCTGGCGGTCATCCCTTCCGACTTGTCCTTCCTCGGCTGACACTCGGGCTTTTGTTAGGGAATATCTCTTGTCCTCTTGCTTCAGAAATCTTGTGGAAAACTCTTGCAACGATTAGTTTAGACTCTGCCGCCGGCATTGTCGTCGACGGGACTTCGGTTGGAACAACTTCCTCAGCCTCAACCCCAAGGCTCCGGAAGCCAGGAGAGAATTTCGGGCTCGGCTGCAGCATGACCGCCTTTGCCTTTGCTTGGAGCTTAATGGATGCTTAGGTTTTCTGTATCTTAATAGAAAATGAACAAAGGTCCAAAGAACATTACACTGAATCCAGTCACAGCCACCAGAGGCTCAGGAGCCTTGGGCTTCACGATACGAAGCCAGGTGTCCCGAGCTCCCTGCACAGGAGGAAGTAAACCCTATGTAACCACGACCAGAGACCACAAACCTTTGATCCCTAAGCTTTAAGGTTTAATTTGAATTCTGAAACAAACTTGCACCGACCTTGGGCTTGGCTCTCGCAGGTTGCCGTCCCGGCTGCATGAAACCAGGTGGAAGAACTCTCGGAGGCACACACTCTGCCTTCTTTGGCTTCGGTACCCACGGAAACCCGGCTTTAGGCAGATGGCCCGCCGGGAACAGCCTGCTGTAGAAGGGAGTGGCCTCAGATGCGGTGTAAGCTTTAGAGTTTATAAAGATGAGGAAAAAATCCTGTGTTTTGATGCTTGCATTAACTTGACCGTTGTCACGATGTACGATGAAGGCTCAGAGTCTACGACGCAAAGCCAATGCATCCCGGAGTCCGGCTCCATGGGCTCTCGCGCGCCCACAGACTGCGCCTTCTTCGGCACCGGTGGTTCTTCTGGATCCGACATGGATCTGTGACAACGCGCAGCTTAGAGCCCAGTAACATTCGGAGGTTGCTTACTGCCTCGTAGCGTTTGTTGCTGTTTGCTGAGTCAGTGGCTGGATGCGGAATGAACTAGGCTCTGATAATGCAAGTCCCCATTCAACACCAGATCAGACGAACATCAAACCTTGGAGCCAAAGGACCGCGGTTGATACCTGTCGAACGCTACCTAAGCCCCAAACTCTTACACTAAGTGCAACGAGTCTGGCAACCCGTGTCCGTTCAATCCCTGTCTGTGAATCTCAACCATAGGTTCTAACCCCTCAACTCTCACTGCATGAGCTTCTAGACTGAAAATGTTCCTGCTTGGGCGAAGCCGGGATATGTTTGCTAGTTGTCAAGTCGAGCTAAGGACAGGTTGCGAGTGAACGGCGGGGCATGGTTTTGTGTTTTCAAGACTTGGTTATCAAGTAAGGACAGCAACAGGACGGTTTGACGTGGAAATGCGGAGTAGGGTGTGTGATTCCCACTTCGGGCATTAAGGGGTTGGGACAGCCCCGAAGCGTTCGCTATGTCTGCTGAGTGTAGAATACGATGTTTTCGTCCCTGGCCTTGCGAGACAGCTTCAAGCCGACGGAAGCCTTTCGCGTCGCAGCCGCAGATCTGTTGAGCAGAGTTCAGGTTAGGTGTGTGTGATGCTCGGACCACATGTAGGTGCTAGAGCACAAGACAGACACCGTGTAATCAGATTATTTTTCTTCTGTAGCAGGACACAGGGACAGTAGGCTGGCTTCCTAACTTTGCTGCTTCAGTCAGTTGAAGCTTAGTAGATCGTAGCACGTGGTCGTGCAAGTCATTGGCATCGGAGACGGGAAGAAGATTGGCTTCAGGCTTTTGAAAACCAGGACCAGGACCACAGTCCAGCACACCTGCGCCGTTTGACATGAAGTTGCTCTACCGAAATGGACTACTTAGAGCTAGGTATCTTTCTTCGGGGTGCTGCGTGCGGGTGGCAGCTTGCGGGCCCCTATAAGCACCTCAAGCCTTGTTTCCTTGGGGTGTAGGGTTTGGACTGGACCGGGATCGCAAGGTTAAAGGGAGGCACAGCCTCTGGCTGCACAGCCGCAAAGCTGGACGCCCAACCGAAGCCGAGCGAGCGCAGTTCGACAGGATAGGGTCAGCCCGGACACCCTGCCCGAGTTCGGGTGAGCAC